TACGCTAAGACTGAGGTTTCATAATGAACAATACGTCTCTTGTCTTATATTTGGGAGCTGGTTGGTGGCCCCAGAGAAAGCCCGACACAAACGCTGGGACTTTAGGTAGGCTGCTACACCGACCTAGAATTCCCTTGGGTTCTGGAGAGCGGAACTCTGGTTCTTATTCTTGTGCAACAGGAACTTGACCCACTGAGCTGTCTCCATGGCTCATGTAGCCCAGGCTGGCCTTGACCTGACCATGTAGCCACAGTGGGCCTTCAACTCCTGATTCTCCTCCTTCTGCTTCCTGAGTGCTGAGACTGCCAGTGTGTATCATTGTGTCTGGCTGAGGTTAGGATTTCCCATACTTTTTTTTTTTTTAAATGTATGGTAGTAGTATTTATTGAACGCATAATTTACCCTTTTCACCATTTCAAATGTATGGTTCAGCGGTATACAGTCCCTTCCTTCCACCTTAACCATTATTAAGCAGTCAGCATGTGCTAAGCATTGAAGTGATGTTACTTATGCACCTGTTTTACAGGCAAGGAGCGTGATGCATGGAGTGTAACTTGTTCAAGGTCTCAAGGCATTAGAGAATGGATGTGGTTCTCCAAAGCAAGGCAGTGGACTTCATCGCTGGGAAATTAATTATACTGCCTTCACCTATGTGTGGTGTCTGCCCTGGAATGCTCTTTGGGGCTGATGAGCAATCCTAGGACTCCTATTCCAGCCCAGGCTGCAGGAGGATATCCATCCAGACTCCAGATTGGAGACAGACCAATATGGGAGTGACAGAGTCTCTCCCACCTGTACAGCAGGACAGAATTGGGCCGGGGGTGGGGGAGGTCCTGTTCAAAAGTGTTATGCAGAACAGGAAGCACTCAGGGACCAGGAGACCAGAATTCTCAGTCAGCCACTTGGAGTTAAATGTCAGCTTCATTCGAACCACTGGCTTACCTTAAATTACAATTACAAATCTTTGAAATCCCCGTTCGGCTCCTTACCAGCTCAGAACAGACGGGCTGGCAGCCATTGATCCTGCGCACCAGGGGCCGCCGGCTTCAAGGAGCCGATTCCCTTTTCTGTACGTGAACAAAAGCGAGACCCCTCGTCTCAGAAATATTCCAGCAGCCTCTTGGCAAAGGCTGCGGGTCATTCACTCCGGGCCCTTCACAAGAAAACCCTAGAAGCACATTCCTTTGTACGATTTCGGTTTGTGTCAAATGCACTCGAAGCGTCACAAGTGGGTTTTTATTATCTGTCTCTCGCCGGCGACCTATCCAGCTTGAACATTTTACGGGTGCTCCTTTGGCAGACAGGAGTGTCAAGGGCAAGGGACACTCACTCTCTCACAGCCTCTCTTGTCAAATTGGGACAGTGCGAAGGCCACTGTGCCTCTCCTCCCTTCTCATTCTCCCACGAAGCTCTGCTTGCTCCTGACGTGAGCTGCCTTTCCCGCTGTGTAGAGTCCTCTCAACCCTGGACAGGGTTTTACCGATTATTCTCTGGCCCCTTTATGTCTCCCAGGCTGGCCCCAAACACCCAAGCAGAGGGTGACCCTGAACCTCTGATCCCCCTACCTTGGCCACCAGCATGCCAGAATTACAGTCATGCCTGGTGTATGTGGTATTGGGGATGGGACCCAGAACCACATGCATGCCAGGCTCTACCAAGTCCCTCACATCGCAACCGCAATGACTCTTTCCTATGTCTGGGCATTGCATTATTGGTCAGCTTTTCCCCACGAGAACAAACTATCTGGTGCAGATAACTCTGAAAAGAGAAAAGGGTTATTTAGTTCTCGATTGCAGGGTTTCGAAGGCATGGTACTCTATAGTGGTGCCACCCCCCACCCCACCCCCACATACCCCACCACACCCCCGCGAGAAGTGGCGGATGGCAGTGGTGGAATTAAGCAGGTACAGGAAAGAATGATCACATCTCAGAACAGTGTCCTAAAAAGTACCAGCCCGTTTGTCTCCTGAGGAAAACAGAGGAAAGCAATTGCTTCTAAGCTTCAAAAGTAAACTTCACATTGTTTGGAAGGAAAGAAAGAAAGAAAGAAAGAAAGAAAGAAAGAAAGAAAGAAAGAAAGAAAGAAAGAAAGAAAGAAAGAAAGAAAGAAAGAAAGAAAGAAATAGATAGGTGATAGAGTGACAGATAACAG